AAGATTATTAGTTTGGAGGCAGGAAATAAAGGGGATATTTAAAAATATAGTATCTATCTTACTCTTACTTTATATTAAATATTTTTATGCTAATTAAGCTTCTAATTATAAATCCATAGCAGGAATTCTTGCAAGAAGTGTTACGTAGAGGAAAAAGCCACAGCATGTGTCAGCACGGTGCACACTCCCTGCGTCCCATCGACTGAAGGGGGAGTTTCATGGAATCACAGGCAGAGCCCACTGTGGCCAGAGGTCAGCTGGGGAATCAAGCTGTTAGCTCCAGCAAGGTGGCTCTACCTCACTGAGCCTTTGGGCACGTGTGGGTGGTCTTCTGCTGGACGTTGTTGATGCTTTACACAGGGAGAGAGGGAGAGAGGGAGAGAGGGAGAAGCGAGATAAAAAGGTAATAGAGAAAGAGGAGAAGCAAACATCATACACCTTTAATAATATAAAAAGCCTTTTTAAAAATATGAACTGAACTTTAAAGAACAGTGAAAAAAGGGCAGGAGGGGGTTCCCTGGTGGTGCAGTGGTTGAGAGTCCGCCTGCCGATGCAGGGGACACGGGTTCGTGCCCTGGTCCGGGAGGATCCCACAAGCCACGGAGCGGCTGGGCCCGTGTGCCATGGCCGCTGAGCCTGCGCGTCCGGAGCCTGTGCTCTGCAATGGGAGAGGCCACAACAGTGAGAGGCCCACGTATCACATAAAAAAAAAAAAAAAAAAAAAAAAAAAAGGGTAGGAGGCAGAAGACGTGAAGGAGGCCATTGGTTTGCTTGTGGCTCACAACTGATGTTTGAAATTAACTACACATGAAACGTAACAGAGAATACTGAATTATCTCTTAGAGAGACTAAGATGACCTCCCAGAGCATGAAATATTCTCACGAGCCTTCAGAAGAAGGGGCTGTGCACATCCTTTGTGTTTCCTGAAGTATCTTGCAAACAGCCATGGAACTGATTTGCTGAACTGAGCTCCGCCCGGTCAGATGTTAACCAAGGAGAGTTTTCTACAGCAATTTGCAACAGAACTCATTGCTCCTATGATGAAATCTTGAGAAATCTCAGGGTTTCTTAGAAACAGAACCCTGACATAAAAACCCTTCAACAGAAGATAGATAAGGCGGCAGAAACCCTGACTGGGAGTGCGGACTCTGCCACTACTGCTTGGTCTATGACTTTGGCCAGTGATTTAACCGTGTCAGTTTTTTAAAAAACCACTAAGTATACAAACCAGAAGCAGTGGTAAAAATAATGACATTGAAAGACTGAGGACATTCAGTACCCTCTTGTCCTCTGCACTTGGACAATTCGCTAATCATCAATTGGGAGATGTGTGTTACAGCCCAGTCTTCACTGTAGGTTTTCTATTTAAAATTGAATACCTGAGAGGCCCTAAGCCAGGATTTATTTCCCCCCTAAGAAAATATATCATTCTGTCACTGAAGTACCAGAATGGATGCTTGAGCCTCCAGAGGGAAAAGTGAAAAGCTCTGTAAGTTCCTTCAAGGGATTTCACACGTCTTTGTTTTCTCCTCCCGAGAGAGATTTGGGGTAACGGTAATGTCTGCCACGGCATCACCCGGATTAAACTTCTGTGGGCAGGAAATGCATCAGCACTTACATCATTTACAAGAGCATGCATGAAGAAACCAATACAGCATGAAAACAAATTAAATGAGCAGGAAATTTCTAATGCACAGTCTGCTTTCTCTGTGGCTCTCAACTTCCCTGGGAACCTCCCAGAAACGATTTAAAAGCCTGAGAGAACACTTACCACATAGAGACCAGGGTAAAGATTAAGTTCTCACAGGAGGTTCACATATGAAGTCTGAGAACTCAACACTGGGTTAGCTTTGACCCCACTTATAATAAAATGCTGTAAATATCTGTGTGAGCACATGCACCACACCCCAAAACAGGAAAGTCAGGAAAAGAGTGAAAACCAAAGAAACGTATATAGCAAGGTTTGAAAGTGAGGCTCAAAAGATGAGAAGACCAAAGCTCTGTTGAAACATATAAAATAAAAACAGGAAAAGGACCTCAAATTATCAAATGCAACCTCCATCTAATGTAGCGGAACCTGAGGCCCAGGATGGCAACTGGTCCCACAGCTGCCCTTCAGCCATATGAGGTCTGTGCGCCCAACAGGTGCAGGTATACATCTGAGGCAGTATCCTCATAGCCTTCCTCTCTTGATGAATTAGTCAATATATGCCAAATAAATCTCTGATTTATTTCTTAAAGCACTTCCTTCCACTTCCTAAATCAGGGTTTGCATGAAATTTGAGAGTTCATTTAGTTCATTCCTGTTACATTAAGCAGAACGAAGTTTCAGAAATATAACAGATACTCACTTTCCTTGTTTGTTTTTGGGTCTATAAAGAAGATGAGCTCTTAATTACTTTGATATTGGCAACATTTATTGATTCAAAACAATGCTGGAATACCTATAATGGGTAACTCACTATGTCATGTCAAATGGGAAATACGTTAATTAATGTGGCATAGATCCTGCTCTCAAGATGCCCAAGGACTAGGAGGGCAAGATAAGCCATATACTAAAATCATTATAATATCAGGCAGACAAGGGCCAGGAAATTACTACAGTAGAATAGATGATGTCATTATTCCTACCTGGGGGATGAGTAAAGTGACATAAACGCAACTCTGAGACTGGATTACATTACATGGAGAAGCAAGGGCATTCCAAGCTAGATGCTGTTCAGTCAAAAGCAAGGCAGTAGCAAACGTGGAGTATATATGGAGAAAACACAAATAGGTTCAGTTTTGCAAAAGAAAGCATACAAATTGGAGAGTCTGTGCGCTATAAAACTAGAAAGGTAGATTTAATCCGGAGCACGCTAGATCTCTGGAGCTACGAAAAAAATGCTTTTTCCCTTCATCCTGCAGTCCATATGGAATCATTCATTTATCCTTTATACAAAATTCTGAAGCAACCCCTAAGTAATGGGCACCAAGGAAAGGCACAAGGCATGTAATTTGAGAAAAACACGGTATCTACCTCCAAGGAACTTAGTCTCCACTAGGAATGACACATAAGCAGCCGATGACGACCACACATGTCATGATAGCATGCCAGGGTCACATAGAAGTGTATAAGGAAAGTCACTGAAAATCAGGTTTGTAAGGGAAGACTAATAGGGGTCCCAAAGGAAGAAACTGAAGATAAGCAGTAGTTATTGAAATAGAAGAGGGGATTTGGGTATTCAGAATAAGATAAAAGTATGTTAAAAACACTTGAAGGTGTGAGAAAGTATAAAGTGTTCAGAACAGAAACTACATTTTAACCCAAAGCCATAGGAAACTATGAAATTATGATGATGCCCAAAATTAGGGTTTAGGAAAATAAATCTGGCAGCAGCATGTAGAAAATAATTGGAAAGCGGAAATAACTACAAAATGTTTTACTCCAGAATCTAGAAAAATGGTAGGGAGGACCCAAACTGGCCCAGTTCCAGTGAGAATATCATGGACATAGAATTCATGCAACTGAGCAAATCACAAACTTAGGGAACAAAGGAAATGCCAGGCGCCTCACATTTTAGAATGGATTGACCCAAACTGGGAACTGGGAAGGAAAAGCATCTGCGGCAGGAAATCGAGGAGTGGGAAAATATTCAAGAAACAGACAGAGAGCAGAACCCAGAGAGAGAAAGGAAGAGAAGCTGGAATAAAGGTACATCAGGAACACAGGAGGAAGAAAGGCATGGGTACTGCGGGGAGTGCGATGACAGGAAGAAAGGCTTCTGGTGACAAAACCAATGTTGTCCCTCAGTAAAGGAGCTTCGGGAGAAAACAGAGCAGAAGCCAAATTGTAAAATATCATGAAGTACTAGATTGTGAAAGCAGATTACTCTTTGGAACTCCTGAGAAATTTAACAAGGGAGGAAAGGACAAAGGCTGGTAATTTGAGAAGCATCATGGGAAATGTTTTTGGTAGAGGAGACTTGATAAAGGTCAGAAAAAACAATTCAGAAGAGAGAGAATTTAATAATCTTTATTGGCAGGCAATTCATATTTCTAACTTAAATCTAGAGTCTGAAGCATTTCCTCCTGCTTTGCTTTTAAAGACTGAGAACTTCCATTTGCCGTCCTCTAAATGGTGAAGACCTTCATATAGTTGGGACCTATTATTTTTATCACTCCTCAGTCTTCAATTCTGGGTGAAAATACCAATCCATTAGTCCTTTCTCATGAGTTTTATTCTTTGCCATGGCGTTTCCTTTGAACCCTTCTCTATATTCTAGAGTCTTTTGGGAAAAAAAGCCATAAGAGGGTCCAACAATTTAATAAAGGCTAAGTCTAAACTGACATTTTAAAAAGGTAGGTATATGATTATCCCTCTATTCTTGTGGTTTGCAAACTCATTTTGTTTTGTTTTCAAAGCAGAACCATTTCTTCTAATTACATCATCTACAAGATCAAAGGAGCTGCTATGAATAGAGCAAAGGTAAGCAAAATAGAGCCTCAACCATGCGGCTTTCCTCCCCATCCCACAGAAGCTATTGTAAAATAGTGCTGAACACTGGCAGTGTGTTGCTTATTAGTTTTTAACGTTTCTCATAGAATATCTATGCAAGTTATCTTTCTTATATCATATAAAAATCACCTTTATCACTATATAATCTGGAGCTCTTTCCTGAAACCTTTCCCTACTTACAAATGTTATGCAGAATTCTGACCACACAATCCCAGACATGAGCTACCTCTTCTCTAAATAGCTTCATGACAGCTCAAAGCTATGTGAACACTGTCTTGAAGTCAGGTCACTGATGAGCTTAGAAAGAGTAGGACTGACCCAAACACTGTTTATCTGTTGTAAAGAAAATGTTTCTTCTTCCCTCCACAGAAAAGTCAAAATTAATAAAATTTCTCCTCCACTAAATATCCTAAAAGCCCTGAGCTACAAAATGTATCATCTGTAAAAAGTGATAGAAAAGAACCATAAAAAGTATATTTGTTGTTCACATTTGATACTGACCTAATAAATTTAACAGCCAAGCCCAGATCGGCTATACAGCAAGTTCCATTTTTCTTCACCAGGATGTTCTTACTTTTCAGATCTCGATGGGCAATTGCTGGTTTGCCTTGAGTACTAAAGATTTCGGTGTGTAAGTGACATAGGCCACTGACAGAAGAATAGGCTAACTTCAGCATCGATTTAGTATCTAGGGTGGTGGACTTCAGGTAATCATAGAGGGAACCATTTTCATGATAATCTGTGATTAGGTACAACTGGGTCCAGGACCCCGTCCCTTTGATATCTGCAGCAATGAACCCTACAAGGAAAAAAGACAAAAAGGGTTGGAGCTATGTGTTTTCTGAATATTATCAGGATAATTATTTTTTTCAACTATCACTCTTTGTCATAGGTGTCTTCTGTTTGGCATTTCATTCAGTTTTCTGATTGTGCCTATGACAGTATTAAATCACTAATACCAATCAGAGGCCATCAAAACAGCAGGAGTGGAGAAACACCAAGAGTTTGTATCTGAAAACAGGATCCCTTTCTAATCAGCAGTTGATATTTAAATGATCTTGAAGTTAACAGTAAATAGTTCCTGGTATTAGAGTTACACATAAGACACTGTTTACAAAACAGGCACACACTCCATGATTAGCTTATACTCTTTCTACTTGAATGATCCAGCTAGATCATTTCTAACTTGAGAAAATAAAAATGAAATCAATTACCAATATAAACTCCGGACATAAATAAACCCTGCAGATAAAATTCCCATAACTTTTCACAGCACTTAGGCAAAAATGTGCTCCTTCAAATCCCTAAGAAACCTTAAGAAATTCTGGTTTTGCATTTCCTGTCCCGGAAGAAAAAATTTTTTGAACATGTTCCATTTCCAACCCACCGTTCATTCACAGAAGTGCCTTAGTCATTCCTCCTGCGAGGTCTCCCATTAGAAGCGTATGACGTTCTTGGGCTCATGCCAAGAAGAAAATGTCTATATATTTCATAACAGGTTTACACAGATGAGTTAATATGCAGATGTTAACAGAAAAAGGGAGGAAAGCTAGGAAACCCTGAACATTGCTATACAGATTTTTACTCACCCAAAATGTTTTCATGCCTCATCAACACTGTCTGATATATTTCTGTCTCTCGGAACCAGCTGGCTTCCTCTGTGGTGAAGAACACTTTCACAGCTACCTTTTCGCCACGCCACTTTCCCATCCAAACTTCCCCATAGCGCCCTTTTCCAATCTGTTTCACCATCTGAATCTGCTTAGCTATAGTCCTCTGAACCTGTTAAATCCCAAAACACATTGTTAGTGTATTCACAGCACAACAGATTTGTTTAATCTTTTTTTTTCCCCCCTCCGGAGAAGAAACACATGTAAAATGTATTTAGCCAGTAGTTTTTCTTTACATAGACAACTTATTTGTATTTATTTATTAATTTATGCTGTCCTCTTTTAAATGTATTTGAAATTGAATGTGGATTTTGAGCGTTTGAAGTATTGCTTCCAAATATTCACAGATATTAAGTATTTTATTCTACCTATTATTATTTTCACAGAGAAAAAACCTGAATGGGTTCACAGTAATTGGCAGAATAGAATACTTTTCGCTTCTACCACTATAGTGGGATACTAGATACTCTGAAGGGAATCATGTCACTATATGTTTGGATAAAATACAACCAAACAAAAATGTAATGCACTGTTGGGCACACATAGAAATAAAGGAAATCTCTGAGCAGGGAGGAATGGAGGGAGGGAGGAAAAGAGGAAGAACAGAGTTAAGACCAGAGCAGGGATAGATAAGCATTCAGCAGCATATTCAAAAGCCAGGTTGCTGTCTGGACAAAGAATAATACCAGCACTGAGATCTAGAATATGAACTTTGACCCCTTTAAAATTAGAGAAACTGAACCCTGGGCTTTAGCATTAAGCCGGAACCACTGAATGGTACCAAATTTGCCCTGGGTTGGTAGCACACCATCACCATGGCTCCTGGCAAAAGCAAATACAAATCCTCTCTTGAGGAAATCATTTGCAGAATACGTTTCACTCCACCACTATGGTGAGATACTAGATGCTCTAAAGGAGCTCTTGCCACCATACAACTTTGATCGTGGATAAAATATAAGAAACAAAAAACTGATAATGCACTGTTGGGCTCACAAGGAAATAAAGGAAATCCCCAAGGTGGGGTTGCGGGGAGAAGGAGAGAAGGAAGAGAAGAAAATGGAGGGAGAGAAAGAAAGGAAAGAGAAAGAGAAGATCCTACAGAGTGAAACGCCTTAAAACAAAAGCAAACAGCCACTGCAAGTGAGAGGCAGGAGAAACAACCCAAGAAGATTTAACCCCTTCAGATTACAGATACTGGAATTTCCAGATACAAAATGCCAAGAACAGTACATGAGATGTGTGAAGAAACAGGAGACAGAATGAAATACAAGGAAGCAGTAAGAAATTATTGAAAATTATACTTTGAGGTGGAAGAGTTGTCATAACAAGAAATGTAAAATGGAGACGTAAAACAGCCGATTAGAGCTGGGGAGAAAGTTAAACTGTGAGGGAGCTCTGAAGAATTACAGAGTGCAGCAGAGACAACGAGAAGGAAAGTATGAGAGTTAAACGGCATAAAGGTTATAAGTCTCTTTACACATGATCTTCATTCTACCTCTGCTTAAATGTTTTAAGAACTCCATGACTGAAGGGGCTAAGTATTGGTGACCATTTACATAATTTGGGAGACCTATATAAAGAATCTAACATAGAACTCTCAAAAGACCTGGTCAGAAAACTGGGATGTACTCTTTACAGAGACATGCTTTGCATCAAGTAAACCCAAAGTGTTTCTTTCTGTATTTGCAATTTTAAGGGCCATGTAATTATACTGAGTCCACCTAGATAATCCAGAATAATCTCACTTCAAGGACAGCTGATGAGCAACCTTCGTTCCCCTTTACCATGTAAAATAACAGATTCTAGGGATTAGGACATGGACATTTTGTGGGGGCCAGTATTCTGCCCACCACAGATGTCTATCAGCTGGGATGTGCTCTGTTTTTGCATAATGGATGATTTTATCAATTCAAGAGGTAATGCTATCCATTGCCAGAACCATTACCAGCACTAATATCAGACTGAAAGCTTTTGGGGACAAGATAAAGTCCTTTTTTCTTTTCCTGTGAAAGAAGAATTAAAAAATAAAAGCATTACTGACATGCCATTTAGCCACTCAGCCTGAAGGAAATGAGGAAGTATGTATGAAGAGCAGCCTTCCTCTCTTTAGGAGTCAGAAAGGCTCTGTGAGGAAACCTTCAGCACATTTCCATTCCTAAATAAGGGAAGAGAAGCGTCAAGGGCACTAAGCAGTTGAGAGCCAAATCCGTAAGTAGTTAAATTATTGACTTGAGGAGACTTCCTACATTTGTTAAAGAAATATTACTAATTTATAGATGTTACAAAGCAGTACTTACGTAAATCTACAGAACATTTCCTAACAAACAGCTTTATATCCACTTCTTTTCTAATGATAACATATACAATTAATTTAACGAAAGCATAGTTGGAATTGGCAATGCTCACAAGAATAGGAACAACTTATCTCAAAGATAAAAAGTCTCACTAAATTATATTCAGAAATTTAAAATATACTTATATTTTGAGATTTATTATAACATCTATGGACCTGAAAATATAATTTGAAAAATGTTTTAACTATGTTATTTGAGTTTTTATTTAATTTAGTTAATGTTTCAGGTCTTTCTGTACTTAAACTTTCCTTCTCTATTACATTCTTAGATATCAGTTTTGAAAGTTAGATTGTATAAATAAAAAACAATCACTATAATTGTGATTCCAAAAAGAGAAGAATTATTTCATGCAAAATGGGTACAACTAGCTGTATAAGGATTATGAGGAGTTATCATTATTTCAGAAATGTCCTCTTATCTAGTGATCAGCTATCTGATAGTGTCTAAGGGTTAAGCCCGTGTACACAATGGACACTAAAAACCATGTAGTTGTAAGTAATGCTCTGTGCTCTCTACATGTCCCTGAATTAACAAAACACACACCGCTACACACAAATATACTGTTTAAAACACTTTGCTTAGTCAGGCTGAGTTAATGATACATATTGGAAATATTGTTCATGAAAGATTCCTCAACTAAGAGGTTTGATGTTCAGTTAGACAATTTACTTCACCTTTTGTTCCTTTACAAGGTCAGATAAATAAGGTATAAATAAATAATAATAGTGTTACTATTTACTGAGTGCATACTATGTATGTATTAAATGTGCCAGGCATGTTTATATGTATATTTATTTAGATATATGTATGTGTATATTTATATATATTTATTTATATATCTGTATATGTATATTTATTTATCTTCATATATATATATATATATATATATATATATGGCAGGCAAACTATCTTAATTCTTACAACCACCCTATGATATTCCTCCCTTAAAGGATTTATATACAAAGTCACTTGGCAAATATTAGGTCCAAGTATGTGTTTATACACATGGCATGAACTTTCCCTTTACGTGAATGAAATAAACCACAAATCGGAATTAATATGCAGAGAGACTATGGTGCATTTCTGCATTGTTTATCTTAAAAACCAAATCTTAAAACAGGATCTTAAATCCGTAATACTGAGACTTTCCCCTCACTAAACTGAGTTGGACGGATCCTTCTTCCCATCCTGTTGCTGTCAAACGCAATTCTTTGTTTTATTTAATATTTGGTCCATGAACGTGAAGAGCACAGATTCTGGAGGCAGATCATGTGGGTTTGAATCCTGGCTTCTCCACATATTAACCAGTTGGCCCAAGTCAGGGGCCTATGCCCCTGCTGTGTGATACAGGGATACATTTCTAGTACTACCTCACAGCTGCTATGAGGATTAAACGAGAGTCTGGCCAGGACTGGATCAGTTAATAGTCAAACGCTGGGTTTTTTTGGTGTCTAGATTACAGAAGTAAGATATTATAGTATTTTCACAGATATTAAAAGTTGGAGTGGAAGAAACAAATTATTGAGCAGCCTCTTTAATCACTCAGGTATGCTACTAAGGATACAAAGTGAAAAAATGTAGTCTCCACCCCAAAGAGATGAGAGTCTACCTAAAGACACAGGTACACTAACACCAATTACAATGTTATTTTAAACTGCTATACTGGTACAATAAGCAAACTGTTAAGACAGAAGTTAAATAGACTGGCTCAGTCTGGGCTAATCTGTCACAGAGAAAAAACATGGGGTAGGCCTTGAGCCATAGTCTGAGGAACTCTCCAGAAAGACATTACATTTGCAAAGACATGGATTTTAAAAACACGTTGTATTTTCGAAACAATTACTCAAGGCTGATGCTAGAGCTCAAGAAGCAGGTGGGGAAGAGGTGGGAAGAGAGGGATGTCGTGCTCACCAAGCTAAGAAAGAAGACCCATAAATGGGGGCTTCCCTGGTGGCGCAGTGGTTGAGAGTCCGCCTGCCAATGCAGGGGACAGGGGTTAGTGCCCCGGTCTGGGAGGATCCCCCGTGCCGCAGAGCGGCTGGGCCCGTGAGCCATGGCCGCTGAGCCTGCGCGTCCGGAGCCTGTGCTCCGCAACGGCAGAGGCCACAGCAGGGAGAGGCCCACGTACCGCAAAAAAAAAAAAAAAAGGTCTAGAAGGAGGAAAACAGGTAGTCTTCAATCCTAACAGCGTATCTGATTGATTAATATCAAAAGGGATTTTAATATCTGTACTTGAAAAAGAAGTGTAATAAAACATTTTTAAATATAAGAATGGTATTTGCTATATATGAGTTAAATTCTAAGAATGAAAAGGCAAGCAATTTGATAAGAACTTTTACATGTAAGTTTAAAAAAAAAAAACTTGCATCCTAAGTAGCATTGGTTTGGTCATAGTGACTACTTCACAAGTGGTTTTCTGTCTGGTTTATCACCTCCAGGGGAGGTATGAGTCGAAGAGTACAGAGTTCCAGTTATGCAAGGTGAATAAGTCCTAGAGGTCTACTGTACAGCACAGTATCTACAGTTAACAATACTGTGTGGTATACTCTTCTTCCTAGTTCAGAGCTAAAAGCTGACACTAACTTTATTTTTAGTTAGACACAACTGACATATAACATTTTGTAAGTTTAAGGTATACAATGTGTTGATTTGATATATTTATATATTGTGATATGATTATAACAGTAGTGTTAGCTAACACCTCTATTATGGGTGTATTGTACTTTTAAAATTTTGCTAAAAGCTAAGAGATTAGATCTTATGTTGTGTGGGGGTTTTTTTTATAATTTTATTTACTTTTTTATTTTTTGGCTGCGTTGGGTCTTCGTTGCTGCGTGGGCTTTCTCTAGCTGTGGCGAGCAGGGACTACTCTTTGTTGCGGTGCCTGGGCTTCTCACTGCGGTGGCTTCTCTTGTTGCAGAGCATGGGCTCTAGGCACACGGGCTTCAGTAGTTGTGGCGCATGGGCTCTAGAGCGCAGGCTCAGTAGTTGTGACACACGGGTTTAGTTGCTCCACAGCACGTGGGATCTTCCCGGACCAGGGCTCGAACCCGTGTCCCCTGCACTGGCAGGTGGATTCTTAACCACTCTGCCGCCAGGGAAGTCCCTTATGTTATGTTCTTATCATAAAATAATAATAATAATAATAATAAATGAATGAATGGGGCAGAAGGAAACTTTTGGAGGTCATGGATATGTTCATGACCTAGATTGTGGTGATGGCTTCACAGATGTGTACCCACCTCCAAACTCTTCAAGTTATAAACGTATAACTTGTATAATGTATAGCTTTTTGGATGTTAAAAATAAAAAGAGTTATAAATTCTTGGCTTGAGATTTTTTTTTAGTTACTTTTAGTACTAAATAAAAGGTCACCAAAAGAATCAAGTAAACAAGATATCCAAAGTCAGAACCAGACAATAAAGATTAGGAAAATCAGTCTTAAGAGTTTATAAAGGAAAATATTTCTCATTAAAATTGTTATTTCCATTCCAAGTCCCAACAATCTTTTTGCATGGTCCATAAAGTAACCATATGCTTTTCTCATTAAAGCAAGTGCCTTGGGTTCAGTATATATTTTCTTCCAACTTGGCAGTGTTGACCATCAGAAAATTAAAACTCTCCTGAATGGAAAAGCCAGAGCTTCACCCTGAAACATAAACCCTCCAGCTGAGATGCAGCCTTCTTCTCTTGTAGAAGTACTCAGATCCCATTTGGTTGTAATACTTTTGCCTTCAAAAGCCAGGCCAAAGCACAGTAATGTTATCCTTACTGAAAACAGAGGGAAGATGGTCCCATGCTGAATGTTTTCTAATCTGCTCTTTATCAGAACATCTGAGGGTCTGGATTGCAACCATACACTTACATTAAAGAACAATGACCTCACCCCCAATATGTCAAAATGTTATCAGGAAACCCTGTATCTGAGATCTGATGTCTGACTGACTGCAGAGAGCTTTCTCTTTGTCCACTGCCCTATCTGTTTCAGTAAAATGAAACCCAGAAGTTATTGACATTTCCTCTCAGAATACATTTCCTTTAAATTCAAGGTATGTTCTTCTCATACCAGCAGAGGGAGGCCTGATCCGCTTCCTGAGCTCTGAGACTGCTCAATTAAGTCTCTCAGGGATTCTCCAGGAGGAATGTAAGTTTCATCCTGTTCTAATCCAATGCTGTACCGAGGTCTGGTTTCTTGTCTTTTATACCTGAAGATGCACAAAGAAAGATAATGTTAGACACTGGATTGCAATGATAGGGGCAAACATGCAGATAAAACAGTAACCACAGCAGGTTTTATCTTTGCACATAATACAAGATTAGATGCTCAGTATTTATTACCCTTAGTTATGATTTCCAGCACAAAATCGTAATTATTCTTCTAACCTATATTTTAAAGTAAACTACATGTTTTTATCTCACTCACAACCACATATGATTTTTCTTCTCTATTCCTATCAAATGCATATATCCAAGCAGGCTACATTCCATTAATGTTTCTACACAGTTGCAATATTCATTCCCTAAAATCTTTTCTTATAAGGTCCCTGATCAACTACAGATGCAAATTTTTGGTTTACAAAAGACATTACAATTTTCTCATCCAAGGCAATGTATAGATAAATGAGCTAAACTGAAACTTTAAAAACTTTTATCAATAATTATGTCTTCAATTAGAAATGATGTTATTTGAATCAACTCCTACTTGTAGAAAAGTAACCTAAATTACAATTACAAAAAGCCAATGATGGGCTTCCCTGGTGGCGCAGTGCTTGAGAGTCCGCCTGCCGATGCAGGAGACGCGGGTTCGTGCCCCGTTTCGGGAGGATCCCACATGCCGCGGAGCGGCTGGGCCCGTGAGCCATGGCCGCTGAGCCTGCGCGTCCGGAGCCTGTGCTCCGCAAATGGGAGAGGCCACAACAGTGAGAGGCCCGCATAACGCAAGAAAAAAAAAAAAAAAAAAAAAAAAAAGCCAATGATAAGAATTTAAAGGTCCTTGATATTTCACAAACTAGAAAATGAGTTCTCAGGTGACTGAAAATAATTTGTAATGACCATACTGTAATTTAATAACTGAACATATTTTAATAACTGATCCATAAATTATCTTTAAAATCTTTCAGTGCTAGGAGGATATTGTTAGCTCACACAATAAGGAATTACTAAAGCAATTCTAAGTTCACCATGGTCATTTCTCTGCTTTGAATCAAACCTCAGTAGCAACTAGTTGCTGAATTTCCTAGCTACCATAAATTTCCTAGGGATGAAATTTTTTTCTGGGTGGTTTTGATATCTGAAGCAGAAATGAGATAGGTATCTATTAATAGCTTCATTAGGACAAATATTTATCAATAGTAACTGATTTTATCAGTGAAATCTAAGATCTAATTAGGTCAAGGAAAGCTGTGGTAAAAAATGTCAACAGGTAGAAGAGTATGAGAATGACCTAGAGTCTGTCCTACAGAGTGAAGCAAGTCAGAAAGAGAAAGACAAATACCTTATGCTAACACATATATATGGAATTTAAGAAAAAAAAATGTCATGAAGAACCTAGGGGTAAGACAGGAATAAAGACACAGACCTACTAGAGTATGGACTTGAGGATATGGGGAGGGGGAAGGGTAAGCTGTGACAAAGTGAGAGAGAGGCATGGACATATATACACTACCAAATGTAAGGTAGATAGCTAGTGGGAAGCAGCCGCATAGCACAGGGAGATCAACTTGGTGCTTTGTGACCACCTAGAGGGGTGGGATAGGGAGGGTGGGAGGGAGGGAGACGCAAGAGGGAAGAGATATGGGAACATATGTATATGTATAACTGATTCACTTTGTTATAAAGCAGAAACTAACACACCATTGTAAAGCAATTATACTCCAATAAAGATGTAAAAGAAAAAAGAGAATGATATTATAAACTCAAAATTCTATAGCTACATGTTAGAAACTTACCTGAAGTAACAGAATAAAATGATAAGGACCAAGAGGAAACTACAGACAGTCACAGATATAAGTAAAGCCTTGTGGTGTACAGGTCCATCAACAAAATCTGAAATTAAAAATGAAAAGAGCCATGATACAGACATTATTTTCATTTAAAATTTAGGAAGCAACTCTTTCCTAAAAGTGCTTGCTGCTCCATGTGCAAGATTTGAGAGGTCCTTTTAATCTGCTAATTGATAAGAAATATATATATATACTCTCTAAATTAAATAAGTCTGAGTAACATGAATCATTGTTCATGTAGCCACTCACTTCAAGAGCATGCATTTCTTCTTCTCTGGAAGGAATAGGTTTCACATAGGATAAAAGCACAGGATATAAATAAATGTAAATGGATCAATACCCCTAAAATATAAGCAGGTTGTTCAACTTTATTTCAGATCCAGCTGATGCGTTTACAGATTTTTCTCACGTGGTTTCTGGAGCACTCTATATCATGAATTTGGATAAAAAAACAAATCTATATTGATTGTACATAAAAACCAAAGTAATCCTATGATGGATACAAAGGATCAGAATTCCTCAAATATTGCCAAATAAATAGAATACGTGATTTGCATTACTTTAAACAAAGATGCCCTTCAAAAATACGTAGCTTAATTTTTCATAAACAGCATCCTATTTTCAAAGAATGGGTATGTTCCACTCAAAGAATTACTGTGTGATCCTTTTAAAGAACAAATTATTAAACAGTATTCACGCTGTTTTAACTCCAGTTCCTGACAAATAAGATTTATAATATTACGGCATGATTTTTCAAACGTTGTAAAAATAAGAATGACCTGGAGAGCTTTATACAGAGGCATATTTACTGACTTCAACCCCAGAGATTTTTATTCAAAGTATATTTTTTCTTTTTTACAACCATCCCAGGTGATTTATATGCAGGTAGTCTCTGGAACGTATTTTGAGGAAACTGACTGAAAACCTGGTGCACTTACCTAGTAACAGAACTAGCACCGTTCTTATTAAGGGTACCATACATCCCTGAGAGAGTAATTGCTGCTATTTAATTTTAAAAGGTATTGTAATTTATGACTTTGGTTACCTACAAACAAGATGTTTTCCAACTGTGCTGTATACTTTTAATGGTACGGCTACCTAAACATTTTGCCTGGGGACCTTACCCCACTAAACGTAAATTTCTTTTTTTCATTCAAAAGTATTATACGTTCCCTGAAGAAAAACTGAAAAGCACCAACTAACTAAAATAAAATAAATAAAATTGCCACCACCTCACTATTTACAAAAATTACTGCTAACATTTTAGTATATGCCTTTCCAGTACCATTTCAATGAACAAAAAAGTTCATGAACAAAATAGTTCACAAAAAGGCATTGTATACACCCATGCCCATAGCTGTATTATTCACAACAGCTAAAACATGGAAGAAACCTAAGTGTCCACTGACATATGAATGGATAAGCAAAATGTGGTATATACATAAGACATGGTTTAGCCTTAAAAGGAAAGAGATTCTGACATATATTACAACATGAATGAACCTTAAGGACACTGTACTAAGTGAAATAAGCCAGTCACAAAAAGACAAACACTCCACTTATATGAGATACTTAGAGAAGTCAAAATGATAAAGACAAAAAGAAGAATGGGGCTTCCCTGGTGGCGCAGTGCTTGAGAGTCCGCCTGCCGATGCAGGAGACGCGGGTTCGTGCCCCGTTTCGGGAAGATCCCACATGCCGCGGAGCGGCTGGGCCCGTGAGCCATGGCCACTGAGCCTGCGCGTCCGGAGCCTGTGCTCCGCAAATGGGAGAGGCCACAACAGTGAGAGGCCCGCATAACGCAAGGAAAAAAAAAAAAAAAAGAAGAATGGTAGTTGCCAGGAGTTGTGGGGAGGAGAGATGGGAGAAGTTAATATTTAATGGGTAAGAGTTTCAGTTCTACAAGATGAACAGAGCTACAGAGATGGATGGTGGTTATGGCTGTATAACATTATAAACATATTTAATATCACTGAACTGTACACTTGAAAGTGATTAAGATGGTAAACTTTATGTTATGTATATTTCACCACAAATAAAAAATTTGGGGGAAAAAAATCATTAGAATTGCCTTGTAACTAGACTGTTTTCATTTATAATATTGTAAACATCTTCCAAAACAATAAAAATTTTTGTGCAAAATTAGTTTCAAAGATTACACAGTACATATACAGACACATCCTAATTAGAAAGTCAGTCTTCTGATGATGTATATTTAGAAGATTGCAAAGATTTTGCTACAATACATCTTTGCTGTGATACATAAAATTCTGTGATGAACATTCTTACACATACATCATTGTACATGTCAATGATTATTTTCTTAATCTAGATTTAAAGAAGTAAAATTATTAGTTTGAAGGATATATATTTTAAGGTTTTTCATACATGTTGTCAAAGTACCCTTTAAAAAAGATTACAGGTTTCTTTTTTACCATCAATGTGAACATATGTCTTAATTATTCTGAAATAATCTCAGTCTTATAGAAAACCTGTAAGAATAAAGGACTTCAATATGCCCTTTAGAGAGTTTTCATTTAAAAAATTTTAGCATATTTACTTTATAATTCTCTTGCTCTCTCAGTATGTATGTGTGTGCCTATCTCCCTCTCTCTATATAAAGATATGTATATGTACATGTTTGTATTCACATTTATTTATTTATATGTATGTATACTCTGTGGATCATCTGAAGTTACAGACATAATGTCTCCACCCATAAGCACTTCAGAGTGAACTTCCTAAGAACAAGGACACTGTCTTACCAAATGGTAATGCAATTACCAAAATCAGGAAAGTAACACGAACACATGAAATGAAAATAAATCTTACTGTGAAATATATCAGAGAAAGTTTGGATTATTTATTATAAACTAAAATCCACAGATTTTTATACTAATTTCTCATCCAAATCTTACGATGGTTATGATTTACTCATCAGTCTAAAATATATGTTTAATAATTATTTATGATCTACACTACTTGTAAAATATTAATGGAAGTAGTCTGTTTGCATCTGAAAAGACTAAATGAGAGACCATCTTTTAAAAAGCAGTTTTATATTAAATTCAGAAACACTGCCAATTGAGCAGAGAAAGAGTTCAAGACCGTGATGTACTGGAGTACACAAAGAGCCATTCAGCCTTTAACAACAACAGGAATCATATATAATTACCACATGCGTTGTCCAAAAAGTGTTGCTTAGGAAATCTTGAAAATAATTTGTAAGCTCTTAAAATTACGTGGGCTAAGATTTTACACAAAGAATTTTCTTAGTAAAAATTCCCTCCTTACCTCCCCCACTCCTCTGGGTTATAGGCAAAGTCAACAATAACCCAAAATGAGCACAATACCTCTGCCAGTGAGAGAGCAATTAACAACGTTAGTACACATGCATGTATACAAATACCATGGTGCAAATAATGTCACTGCAAACAGCTTAAGATCTATCTCCAATTTTAAGGACAACAAAAGCAAAAAAGCCTGATTTTGCAGACAATCAAAAAGAACGCTGGATACTCTATCAAAACTAGAGTAACTATGTATGCACAACATATTTTCAGTATACAAATACAGAATACTTTTTCATTCAAGTGATATAATTTTACTAAAAACTATCAGCCTCATCGACTTTCACTTTTCCATGTAAATGCAGAACACTCTGAACTGTAAGAACAGTGTTTTGTTTTTTGGTTTTTTTTTTTTCTCCGTACGCGGGCCTCTCACTGTTGTGGCCTCTCCCGTTGGGAGCACAGGCTCCGGACGCGCAGGCTCAGTGGCCATGTCTCACGGGCCCAGCCGCTCTGCGGCATGTGGGATCTTCCCGGACCGGGGCACGAACCCGCGTCCCCTGCATCGGCAGGCAGACTCTCAACCACTGCGCCACCAGGGAAGCCCAAGAACAGTGTATTTATTACTCATCATATTAGATTTCTGATTTATGAGACCAGAAAGAATCTAAGGGACTTTTTCCTTACCATCAAGCACTTTTTTTAAAGGCTAGCATTACCTTCCCACTTCCCTTTTCTTTGCCCCAATAAACCTATCCCCTACTGCCTCCCTGTCTTTTGTCATAAATAGTGAGCCTTATCAATATGCCTTTTGTTTCTGTTGGTCGTGCCTGTCATGTTTTAATCTGCCATTACCTGTGCTCAGAGCATTAACAATGTAAACATTCAAGTCACTGCCAGAGTCTTGGAAAGTGAACACTTCCAGATACATATCAGGAAAAGAACAGAGCCCACAGTTCTCTCTAGGCCAGCAGATTTCTACCTGGCTGTCACTCCAACTGCTCAGGGAAGCAGAATGGAGAACTCTCTAGGGAAGTCTGGTTCACTCTGAGAGGCAAGTAAGAATCACCAATGGTTTCCTATCAAAACAGCATTCTGTCATTACTTGTCTCCTCTCTGACAATTAACTGGTTTGCAACTGCTTAAAATGCCAGGACTGTTTCTATGAGGCTAGAAGATAGCTCATAATTGCAATAAGAAATAAAAAACCATATTGCTAGAAAGAATCTTGGAAATACGATGGCCCAAAGACATCTTTATATGTGTTCTCAATGTTATAACCACAGATAAATTGGAGACATCTTTCTATTAATAGAGCACAAAGTGCCTGAAAAGCATATTCTTGTCAGAGGATTTCAGTCAACAAACAATACTGTAAAGTAATTTAACTTCATCATATATTGGGATGTCATCTTACAGTAACATCTAGAAATAAATTCACTATAAGAACAAAGACATAATATTCTAGTTATTTTCCTGCAGAAAACGATTTAGTATTATATTTTCTGGTAACAAAGGAAGTTAAGACAGAATTGTTATATCCAGATTACTGTGTTCAGTGAGAAAGAAAAAGTCTAATTATTTGTAAATTTCTTTCACCTATCCCAAATACAAAGTTAACCAGAATTTCCAAAATAGTTAGAAGCTGCACATTTCCAGAAATGTTAAGAGCTATTCCCTGGCAAGGAATTCAGCTCAGACTCATGTACCGGTTTATACTGCCACAAGCATAATATATATGCCAGAAGGAAAA